GTTGTTGTTGTTGTTTCTTTTTACTGTGATCCAACCACTTTCTTTTGGTGTCTCTGTGTGAAGGACTGTCCTTAAAAGTTCTTGTAGATTTTGTCTTATTTTTGCAAATTCCTTAAGTTCTTCGTTTTCTGCAAAGGATGTGATTTCTCCTTCATATTTGATGGAGAGCTTTGCTAGGTACAGGAACCTCAATTGTCAATTATTTTCTTTCAGCTTTCTGTATGTGCTATCCCATTGTCTTCTTGCTCCAATGGTTTATGCTGAAAAATCAGAACTTATCTAATTGCTTTTCCTTCATAAGTGACTCTTTATTTTTCTTGTGCTCCTTTCATAATTCTATCTTTATCTTTTATTTTGGTGAATATGACTATGATATGTCCTGATGCTTTCCTTTTTGGGTCTAGTCTATTTAGTGGTCACTGAGTTTTCTGAATGTGGATTTCCTCATTCTTCATAATACCTGTGATGTTTTCTTCTAGTACTTCTTCCACAATTTTCTCGATGATTTCCCTAACCCTCTCATAGTACCTCTTCCACAATTTTCTTGATGATATCCATATCCCTCTAATATTCTGAAATTTCAATTATATGTATGTTATTCCTTTTGTTGTCATCGTGCATGATTTTACTGTTTTCTTCATTTTCTTTATATCTCATCTTTGATTTTCCTTCTTGTATGTTTCTGTTGAGGTTTTTATCTTCCAGTTCACTGACTCTTTGCAAGTGTTCAGGTCTTTTGTTCATAGGGTTGCTATGAGTTACCAATGACTCAACAGCACTTAACAACAACAGCAGAGAGTGATCAGTAGCCCTAGTGGATAGAAAGTGATGCTACCAAGCCAAAGGTGGGTGACTTTAATCCATGGCCCTCTGGCCAGTTTTTAATTGTTTTTGGTCAAACATTCTTCTAGGTCATATAGCCCTGGTGTGTGCACTTGTTAAGTACAGACTTAACTCGTGGTTGCTGTGAAACTGAACATTGTGACACTGATGTGACAAATGCAATAATGGTTACCCATGGTGGACAGTGTTTGGTGGAGCTCCCCAATTAAAACAAGTTTGGAAATAGGAGTGGCATTCACTTCCAAAATAGCTTGCCTCCAGAAACCCTATAAACCTGGAGAAAGGATGAAAGTTATACAAGTGTTCAGGTCTTTCATTCAGAGGGTCACTATGAATTGCCTACTACTCAACAGCACTTAACAACAACAAAAAACAACAAGCATGTTGGACACTTGTACCATTTGAGTCTTAATATTCTAGACTTCATTTTCATGCTTTTGTGTAATTTCTAGTACTGTGTTGGCAGTAGCTTCTCTATCTTGTGATGATTTTTATTTTAAATTTTTGTACCTCGTCTATACTTTCAATTCTTTCTTACATTTTTTTGCATTTTCTTCCATATTTGTGCAAGTTTCTCCTTATCAATATATTTTTTTTCTGGCTCCATTTTTTTTGCGGCATTTGCTTTCCTAGTAGTTTCCATTGTTTCTTCTATCATTTGCACATTCTTCCATAGCTGTTCAAATAACTCTTTATAGGTGTATTCCCCCCCCCCCGGTTTTCTACTTCTAGGGTATTCCCTTTATTTGTGGCTTCCATTGCTTCTTCCATCATTTAAACTTTCATTCATAGCTATTCGAATGTCTCCATATCAATATATATCATCTGACTTCTTGACTCTGGAGTATTCATGAGTCTCAAATATTCTCTGCTTTTATTGGGGAAGGTTTAATTTGTTTTTCATGTTTGAAGCAGCCTGCTTCTTTCTTGACATTATGTGAAGTTTTTCTTGATAAATGTTAGGTCATTTCTATTATGTCTGTGTAAGGTGCTGTTGGTTCTTGTCTTCATAATGTTAGTAATTAGTTGCCAAGTTGAAATGTTCAGTCTATGGGATGAACTACTCTCTGTATTGTAAGTTCTATCTGGGAAAATTTGCTTTTCCTAAAGTCCTTAAGGTTCTCTTTGTTCTGCACTGCAGCCCTTTAGGAATCTCTCCTTGATGTAGTCCTCTGACATCAGCTTTATAGGCCTCCTTCATATATGAAGTGGCTGAGTGGTGTGAGATAAGGTGCTCTATTCAAGCAATTTCTCATGCCGCGTTTCTTCTGGATCTTAATGTCTTCCTTTGTCTCTTGAGTGGCACGAGATTAGAGGTTAGGGCTGCTAGCTCAAACAGCTTGCATGCTGGGGATCTTAAATCAGCCCTCTGTCTTCACAGTGAGCTAAAATTATTTTCTCTGCTTGAAGTTCTGTATACGAAAGTCTCTTGTCCTGTTTGGCCCCTGGAATGGCCTGCAGCAGAGGCAAAACCCCAGATGGAGACACCTACAACCCCAGGGACACTTCAGACCTCTCTCCCCACAAGCAATGGAGAGTGCTTAATCTCAGCAAAGAGCCTCACCTCCCTCACCTTATCTCCTACAACTAATGTCTTCCTCTCTTTATGATCTGGCTTGAGATCAGGACCACCAGCTCAGGCAGCTTGTATACAGAGGCTTTCAAGTCAGCCCTCTCTCACAGAGAGCTATGAAAATTCTTTCCTCTGATTGTCCTGTTTGGCCCCTGGGATGGCCCTGCAGCCACTGAGACAAGCATCCCCAGATAGGGGGACCTATAACCTCAGGGATGCCTCAATCCCATCTACCCACAAGCATTGGAGAGTGCTCATTCTCAGCCCACCTTCATATTTTTTATTTATCTTTTTAAATTTTATTCTATACAGACTTATTTACAAAGTTCAAATACATTGTTTTTCACACCAGATCATTCCCATTTCTCTTTTGCACTTTGAACAAGTCCTTAGCAACAAATATTCCCAATGCAACATGTCCTTTGATTTATGGGCTGTCATTGCCACAAGTGTTGATTGTGGATCCAAGTAAAATGAAATCATCATCAACTTCAACATTTTCTCTAACTATTATAATAAAAAGTGAAGAGAACTTGAAGCATTGCTACAGAAGATCAAAGACTGCAGCCTTCCATGTGTATTCCATCTAATAAGAGCACAAATAAGTCTTTTAGGATTCACATTCTTCTCAATGTTATCCACAATTTATGATGATCTACAGTCAAATGCCTCTTACATTACTATTAGATAAACTCAAATATTTAGTTTCACCAGGTTTATTATTATTATTATTATTGTTATCCACTTTCCAATTCTAAATCAAGACTAAGGTACCATCTTCAGATGTATGCTTTAGTGTCCTCTGATTTGTGACAACTTCTCACTCTTTCCCTATTATCCATGACTGTCAGTTCTTCTATGTAAAATCTTCTTATGTTTTGCATGACTTTGACAGTATAATATTGGTCAGGGATTTTGTAGAATGTCCTTCAATTTGGGATAATATGATGTTTTCTCCTGATTAAATTGGAATTCTGGAAGTTTGGATAGAATATTAAAGAAGTGAAGTGTTCTTCTCACCACATCACATTGCAATATACACAGTAGCCACATGACATCTCTTACTGTTAACTGTCCTCAATTGGAAAAGTTACACTTTTCACCTTTTTGTACTTTATTCTTTGAAAGCATGTCATTAAAGGTAGTCTCCTCTAGGGGAGGAGGATGATAGTTTCTTTAAAAAAAATACTTTATATTGACATATAAGGCATTGGCAAAACTAAATGGATTGGCATGAGATATTTTTAATGAGACAATCACATGATCTACTATATTGGAAATTAAAAGGTGAGGAAAAAATTGGGTTCCCTTTCTTGTTTAAAATTCCCTTTTTTAATTTGGTTGGGGGGGGCGGTGAAGGAAATGAGAAGAATCTTTTGTGAAAAACAATGTATTCAAACTTTGTAAATAAATCAGTATGAAAGAACAAAAAAGACCATTTCTACATCCATCATGAAGTGCAATGTTGTGAGTGACAGGATAATATTCATATGCATACAAGGAAGTCCTATTAATATTACTATCATTCAAATTTATGCACCAACAACTACAGCCAAAGAGAAAGAAATAAATGACTTCCACTAACTGTTTCAATCAAAAATTAATCAAATATGCAACTAGGATGTACTAATAATAATGGGTGACTGGAATGAAAAAGCTGCGGATGGATAAGAAGGATTGGTGGTCAGTAAACATGGAGTTGGAGACAGAAATGAGACTGGAGACAGAATGATAGGATTCTGTATAACTAATGAATTCTTTCCAAATACCTTTACAAGAAGCACAAACAGTGACTAGACACATGGACTTTATGTGATGGCCTACACAGGAATCAGATTTCTTACATATGTGGAGAAAATCGTTGGAGAAGCATAATATCAGCTGTGAAAACTAGCTGAGGTACTGATTGTGGATCAGATCATCAACTACTTGTATGTAAGTTCAAACTGAAGCTAAAGAAAATCAAATCAAATCCACAACAACCAAAGTTTGACCTTGAGTTTATTCCTCCTGAATTTAAAGACCATCTCAGAAACAAGTTTGAGGACTTGAAGGATATCAAGAATATCATCCATTTAAAAAGCAAAAGGACATTACAAAGATGGAGGAAGAAAAAAAGGCCAAAATGTGTGTCAGAATAGACAGAATAGACTCTAAATAGTGCATTCAAGCATCAAGAAGCCAAAGCAAAAGGAAGAAATAAAAATGTTAAGGATCTGAACAGAAGATTCCAAAGGGCAGCACAGGAAAACAAAACAAAGAATTATAATGGAATGGGCAAAAAGCTAGAGTTGGAAAATCAAAAGGGATGAATTCATTCAGCAATTCATAAGCTGAAGGAACTGAAGAACAAATTCAAGCCTCAAGTTGCAATTCTTAAAATGCTGTCAGGAAGCGGTGGAGCTGGTGTGCTATGCGGACGTCCCCGTCACGCTGCAGCCATCATCATCCCCGTGCGCAGCTTCACCTGCGGCAAGATCGTGGGCAACAAGTGGGAAGCCTACCTGGGGCTGCTGCAAGCAGAGTACACCGAGGGAGACGCCCTCAATGCACTGAGCCTGAAACGCTACTGCTGCTGCCGCATGCTGCTGGCCCACGTGGACCTCATTAAGAAGCTGCTCAACTACCCTCCCCTGGAGAAGTGACCACCCTGGAGAAGTGACCATGGCTGTGCTTCCCGGGTTGGGGCTCCAAGTAGGCCTGGCCTGGCCCATCCCGTGTCGCCTCGGCCACTGCACCTCTGCTGACCCACGGACATCTGTGGGCGGGGGATGTAGATGGAGACAACAGTGGAATAAAGCTTTTGTTGAATGAAAAAAAAATGCTGTCAGAAGAATGCTAAATGACCCATGAAGCATCAAAAGAAAATGGAAGGAGTGCACATAGTCACTATATAAAAAAAAAAGAATTGGCTGACACAGAAGAATTTCATGAAACAACATATGATCAAGAGCTTATGGTGGTGAAGAAGAAAGATCAAGCTTCATTGAAGGAACTGGGGGAAAGGGGAAAGGCCCCAGGAATTGACAGCATACCAGTTGACATATTTCAATAAACAGATGCTTCCCTGGAGGTGCTCACCAGGTTGTGAAATCTGAAGGACAACCACTTGGGAGAGATCTATATTTGTTCCCATTCCAAAAAAAAGGTGACCTAAAAGAGAATGTAAATTATCAAACGCCATCATTAATATCACAAGATCCTGCTAAAAATTATTCAAAACCAACTGGAACAGCACATCAACAGAGAATGGCCAGGTGTGCAGGCTGGGTTTAGAATAGGCCATGGCTCTAGGGATATTTTAGCCAATGTTAAATGGATCTTACCTGAAAGCAAAGAGTACCACAGGAATGTTTATATGTGTGGATCACAACAAAATGTGTTTTACTGTGAGAAGAATGGGAATCCCAGAACACTTGGTTGTTCTTATGTGAAATCTATACTTGGACAGGAGGCAGTCATCAGAATAGAGCAAGTAAATATTGCATGGTTCAAAATCAGGAAAGGTGCATGCTAAGGATATATCCTATCTCCATACTTTTTCAATCTATATGTGGAACACATCATCTGAGAAGTTGGGCTCTATGAGGAGGAATGTGGCATCAGGATTTGGAGGAAGACCCATAACAACCTATATTATGCAAATGACACAACCTTGCTTGCTGAAACTGATGAGGAACCTGAGGGATTTGCTGCATAAAGGCAAAGACTGCAGCCTTCAATATGGATTGAAGCTCAACATAAAGAAAACAAAGATTTTCTCCACTGGGCCAGTTGGCAGCATAATGGTAGATGGTGAAGATATTGAGATTATTAGCAGCTTCAGCTTCTTTGGTTCAACAATCAACACTCTTGGTACCAGCATCCAGGAAATAAAAAAACAAATTTTATTGAGGAAAATCTGCTTTCAGGGACATCTCCACAGTGCTGAAGAGCAATGACATCAGTCTAGAGACTAAAGTGCACCTGATACAGGCCATGGTCTTTATAATTATTTTCTATGCATCAGAGAGCTGGACAATGATTAAAGATGATGGAAGAAGAATCGATATATTTGAACTGTGGTGCTGGAAAAGAGTATTGATTATACTATGGACTGCTAGGAGAACAAACAGACTCTTCTTAGAGAAAGTGAAACCAAGCTGCTCCTTGGAGGCTGGGATTTTGAAGCTTTGTTTGACATGCTTTGGGCATGTTGCAAGGAGAGACCAGTCCTTGGAGAGAGACATCATGCTTGAAGGGTAGAGGGATAAGGCAAGAGAGAAAGACCCTGGATGAGATGGATTGACTCAGCGGCTTGGGTAATGAGGTTAGATGTGTCAGAGGCAATGAGGTTGGCTCAAGATAGAGCAGGGTTCAGAGCTGTTGTACACAGGTTTACTGAGTTGCAAGCAATTTGACAGCACATAAAACCAACAACATGCAAAAATGTGGGTTTATAATAAAGTTCCTATCTCACTCCAATTCCGCAAATTTGTGAAATACCACAAAGAGAAATATTCTAGAGATTTATGCAGCAACGATTGTAATCCCCAGAAGTAGCAATGGGTATTATCATTGTGTAGGAAGACACAAGCCTTAATCCTTGTAATGATTATAGATACCAAGAGATGGTTATCTTCACCTTACCTGAGTTGTTATTAAAATGATTGCTTATTTTTCTAAGGTCTTTTTAAAGTCTGATGAAATCCCTGGATGGTTTTCTTCTGAGACTGTACACACTACAATGCAAATTGTACACAAGCTAAAAATTCATCTTCGTACAATTGTTCTCTGGGGTCACACAACATTTAAATGCACTTTGCCAAGAATGCTGTTTGTCTGCAGAATCATAAATGCACAAATGAAATACTTCTTTTCAATGGTCATGTATTTCTAAATTATCTCAAAGGCATCCAACTTACTAAATAGCCTATTCTTTTATATATGAGGGCACTCCACTTAACCATTTTCATTAGAATTTCTAGTGCCATGGAGCCTTTTAATGTTTTTGGTTTCAATCATGGTTTTGTTTTTCTATTATTCTTGAATAATAGAATAGGGCTTTCCTTAACTTTATTAACTGACTTTATTAACTTTAACAAAAAAAAACCCAACCATTTTAGTTTTACACAATTTACATAGCAGGAGACAAGTTGAAAAATGTGACAGTTTTTCCTAATTGAAAGGAACTGTGTGATTATCTTACAAATCTGTAATTAAGGTCTTGAATTATAATACTAATTTGGTGGTTTGTGTCACTCTTTGTCTTGATCAAATTACATCATCACAAAAACAATAGTAGTCACTGCAATCCCAGAGGTACACGGTTCAAATCCACCGGATGCTCTGCTGGAGAAGGAGGGTGCAATCTCCTCCTGTACCAGTCAGATCTAATGGTACACGTAAAAATAATACAATAAAAAATTTTTTTAAATTAAAAAAAACACAATAGTAGTAGTTACAAATGTATGTCAACAAGGGTAATAATTTCTGCTAATGTTTTCAATGTACTATTATCTGTTCATATAGTTATTTCTTCTTTTCCCTTCTGTCCTTTCTTCATTTTTTCTTTCTACTTTCACTGATAACCTAATACAGCATGCCAGATAGTGTGGTGGAAATCATGCTAGAGCTCTGCTTTTTAGGAAAGAAGTGCAGATGTATAAAAACTTCATCTTAATATAAGGGAGAAAACATTAAGTGGCATTATTAAGGTACAAATGAAAGGTATCAGTAATAGAAAGCAAGGAGGAGCTCAGAGAGGTTTTTCAGCAAGGTGAGGTTTAGTTCAGCAGCACCAATGTGGCTGAATCGAAGGAAAGGATTGGACAAGGTTCTGATCTGTC